TTTTTTTTTTTTTTTTCGTCCTTTGTCTCCTCTTATTGTCCTCGCTTTCCCGCTTGCTAGTTTCTTCTTTGTCACTGCTATTGCCGTTTTATTATCTATCTTTTTGTTCCTTTATTTTACACCCTTTTCGTATCCGATCTTTCATCGCTATTCGGTTTATTTCTCTAATTTTTCGCGCTTTCGCCACTTTCATTTTGTCCCTACTTCTCCATTTCGTTGCATTATTTTCGCGTTCATCTTTCTGTATTTTCGTTTTCCTAATTAATTCTTCCTTAATCCAATTTGTTAGTTTCGATATCGTTGAGAATATAGCTAAAAAATGTAGAACCACGATAGAGAATTATCTTATCTATTAAATGTTACAGAAAACGCTATATTTTAAATACTGTACTGTAAACATACTTTCTTCACATTATGTGCAACTTCAAAGTTTTAAATGTATAAAAGTCTATAATCTAACAATCAAATATAATTAATTTGGATATTAATTAAATATGTAAGCAAGCAAGAGGATATAATATTTAAATTCATAAAACAGTATGACAATTAACATGGAAGTGAAAATCTTCTCATTTCATGATATATTTCAGCATTCGGAACATGATCTTTTATAGTTACTTTCCTAATCAGTTAACTATTACGAATGAATCCAAATTATCATCAAGAACTTTCATCGTGTTAAAAATTCATTAACACTTACATATTTAGTATTATCAAACACTAGATATAAGTATTATTTAGTATATTATCATATTTAGTATCAAACACTAGATTAAATTACTTAATTTTGAAATTTTTAATTTTCAATTAATTTCATTATTACAATTTCTGTAAATTATATCATAATCTACAGAAATTGTGAAATACAAAGTAAAATTAAAGTATCCACGATCTTAATAGTTTCAAGTGAATTACTACAATCATCTGTAGGATAGAGAAATAATTTCTATATTTATACAAGGAAGGAAATTTTATGCAGCAACTATCACAGAATTTCAGCAGTACAAAATCTTTTTCAAGATAATTTTCAAAGTTTATTAGAGGAACCGTTGTATCGAAGTTATAATTACTAAAATGAACGAATAACTATCGTGGAAAACCGTGAAAAGTAAACGAAGGTTGTTGGAAATTAGAAAGTAGACGTTTGAAAACTTATCCGAGTAATGGATAAATTGTCGGACTACACGAACTACGAATCTGCTTTGATAATCGTGAAAGTTTCCACGAAATTCGTCTCGAGTTCGTTTTAGAACGTTCACCCGATAATGTATGCAATGATATTGTAGAATCGTGAATGTTGTAGATAAGCAAGAGATTTTGCTGAATGTTTCTCGCGCCGGCGGAAATTGGCCTCTGAATTGTTTAAAAATCCCGACGAGTCTTTTTCTCGTGAGATAACGATGGAAAGAAGGTTCGAAAAACTTCCACGAAGTTTTTTTTTTACTCAAAAGGAAAGAGAATTCGAACGACACGAATTCCTGTATAAAATAAATGATATTTTGCAACAGAATCGATTCGTCGTTTAAAAAGTTATTTCAATACCGATCGCGGTACGTCACTTCTCAATTTTGGAATGTACACATTATCTGCAATTAGGTCAACTGCATGAATGCAACTATACAACTAGGATGCACTTCAAACTCCTCCGGATCGTTCTTTGAACGTTTGGAACCTCGTGTCAAAGATTATCACACATTGTTCTACATATTTTCCATTTATTTATACATTATTTATGAAAAAGTATCTTATGTTTCAAACATACACAGAGTGTGTTTTGAGATCCAATGATACGACTGGAGAGTGGCTATATATTTAAAAGAAAAAAATATATCAAAAAGAAATAATAATTGTTTCATTTAAAGTTTCATTTGCAAGAAAATCGAACTTGAAGATTTCTCAAGTATGCTTGAATTTGACTAATTCTAGACTAGACCAAAGCGAATTATTAGTAGAATATTCTACGTGCAAAAGTAAGTAAAAAAATGCAGTTCTTAATTAAACGTGTTCAAAATCTATTCTCTTGAAAATGAGACTTCAAAATGGAAAAATTTTATTCTGCATCTTTCTCTCTAGAATAACTTTCTGCCGACTATTCATTCTTATCCAGTCTTGCATTAACGTGAAGTGGCGGAGAAAAGAAAGTATAAAAAGCACATTTAATAACAGTAATGAATATATATCGTATATAATAGAATATTGATAAAAAAATATTTAATACAAAAGTCATTAATTATAGAAACATATTCACTACCTCTTGTACATATAGACAAATAGGAATTTTAAATTTTCTATCTGCTATTGCTATAATCATTAATAAATATAAATTATTAATCTCAAAAAAAAATAATACTATTAAATCTTTTACTAATAATTAAAAACTAAATATTAAAAACTCCTTATGTATGTAAAATGTTT